AATATAATATAATATAATATAATAAATATAATATAATAAATATAATATAATATAATAAATATAATATAATATAATATAATATAATATAATATAATATAATATAATATAATATAATATAATAAATATAATATAATAAATATAATATAATATAATAAATATAATATAATATAATATAATATAATATAATATAATATAATATAATATAATATAATATAATATGGTCCTTGAAACAAAGTGCGAAATTTACCCCTAATAATGGGACAGCACTCCAGCACCAGCACACGTCATCATATGTCATCGTGAGCTCTTGCTTCATATGAGATCGATGATCGCGGCTGCTGTAGTTATTCAGTCGTGTTATGTTTTGATAAGCTCATAACTGTACTGTGAAAGTACACCGTGGCCATATTCATCTTTGTAAACACACAAACTCATGCTGCTGTTGTGGCTGGTGTATTCTGGGAAGTTTTTGTACCCCTTGCTTTCGAGTGTGGTCCTGAAAAATCTCAGTTTCGAGCACTATCTAGCCCTTCCCTTTACGCCTTCAAGATGAAGAGAACTGAGACACCCCTACCTCTTCACATGCATGTCCAAAACTAGGGGTAGAGGTAAGGGGAAGGGCTTATGGGTAGATTTGGGATCAGGCCTAAGTAGACTCACTGTTCAGATTCACTGCAACTGCAGGCTGAGGCTGGCTGCAGCAGAAGTGTTGATGTTAATGTGTGTATATGTGTGTGTGTTTTCCTGCAGTGTCCAAGAACCTGAGCGAGCGGCGCTCCACTAAGTCGGACATGTCTCCGGTGTCCCTGCGGTCCGGTCTGTCTTCCTCCAGAACTCAGAACCGCGTGTCTCAGGTGCTGCAGGTTCCTCCCGTCAGCCTTTATCCTCTGAGGAAGAAGAGCATCGCCAAAGACCTGGCCGCTACCTTCAGTACGACACACATACACACACACACACACACACATCATTGCCTTCATGTTCATGTATATTCACACTTACTCATTTAGCAGATGCTTTCATCAAAATCGACTTACAAATGAGGATAAATGAAGCAGCTTAATCAGCAGAGAGCAGCAGAATGTGCTGTTGCAG